ATGTCTAGAAATGAAGGAAGGGGCATCTCAGTGCAGTCAGTTTGGAGAAACAGTGTCCCTTAAAAATATGAGATCTCATCCAAGTATGAACATTGCTCCTAGAAAGACATGGGAGCATTCAGTTCAGTCCCATGGCCAAAAAAGGAACCTCAGATCCCCTAAAAGGATGAAGAGTTGGTTCTAATTTTGCACTGAACATTGATGTAACCATGTCTGGAATATCATAACCTGGAAAGGACACTGATAAACAGAGGGACTGAGGCAGAGCTGAGAAAGATTGAAGAACTAGAGGAACCGTGTGTTAATAACACTGCAGAAACGCAATCTGCTTAGTTGGAATAAAGGTTAGAAGGTAATTTGATGACTTTGTAAGTACCTGCAAGGGAATATAACTTTGATAACCTGTTACTTGGTTCAGAAGATAATGAAAAGCAAGTAAATGAAATCTAAGGCTGAAGACAGTTACAATAGAAATGAGATGCAAAATCTGTTTTTGCAGATGGTAGAAAACAGTCCTTTGAGCACAATTTTTAGCAGTGGTGATTTTTGAACAAAGACTGAGCATTGTTCTAAAACAGTACTGTAGATCAAAACCAAATCCACTTCGGAGAGTCCTGCAAGCTATGATACAAGAAAGGTCAGAACGTGCAACTGTAGGACTTATTTCAGCCCTTACTACTTATTTATGGGGCATAACTGGCATCAGAATGTCTCTGTGAGTCTGTAGAGAACCTGAAAAAGGAAATCGAAGAGGCAAGCGTTGCCACCAGGCTCCATTAATGCTAAGGACCATTAATGCTAAGGCTTGCTGGGCTGGGCTGGAGTGCCCAGTGCAACATCAGAAGAAGGTTTTACATCTAACAGAAGGGAAAAGAAGCAGACAGCTCCCATCACTGCACCGGTGGTGGGCTATGAGCTACTGGAGACCAGTGATCTATTATCCCAATGAGCTGGTGGAGCACACTGGAAAAGGAATACAGCTACAGAGAGAGGTTCAACAATTTCTGTTTTTAAGGGATTAAGGGATCCAAAGGCCTCAAGCTGTTTTTACCCATTCTTGGAAAGTGATGCTACGATGGGGCACTCACCCTCACACATTCCCTTACAAGAACAATGAACTGTGGGTGCCACTCCTTCCTTCCTCTGCCCCTACTGCTACCACTCCTGTAGCACAAATATATGGGGAAGGGTGAACACTGTTAGCATGGTGAGAATAATATGCAGTAGATAAGCAAAGAGGAAGAAACAGAAAATCCTCCATAACTTATTGAAGCGCTTCTTATATCTATTCTCAAAAGAAATGTGCACTTAAAAGTATAGAGTGATGTTTGTAGAAAGGGTGTGGATACAAGAGTCAAGGGAGGAGAAACAAAAAGAAGCAGTAAGAGGAGTAATTCTTGATAGAAACAGTAATAAAAGGAAAAGTCAAATCTAAGTCTGTGTTGCGTGGCATATAATTCCAGATTTAATCTAAACGTACCAATTTCTCTCACAAAACAATAGGTGATATTCCAACCTGTCACAGTTCATGGAGGAAAATATTATCTGCCACCTACTGTTTCCTGCATTGCTATAGTTAAAAACCATCTCTTTCCTTGCAGAGAGCTTTAATTTGAGCCCTATGTTTTCAGTCTTTCAGATGAAGTTCCTCATCTCTCTAAATCCTCCTTAGATTCAAGACTGGCGTGAGAATAGCAGCGGCAATCACTTCTGTTAACAATGGCAAATACAAAATAAGCAGGAAAGAGACACATTCCTTGCCAGACCTTGCAATTACAGATTTGGCTTGGTTCATGCAAGTTCAACTCAATCCAGATTTTTCTGTAAAAGCTGAGAGTCCAAATCCAGCAGAGAAATGTTGCTGAACTGCACAAAAGATGAATTCAACCCAGACGGCAAATTGCCTGCGTATTTCTCACATGCATATCTCCTTTTGGTTTTGTCATGCAGGAAGTCACACACAGATTAGAAACCACCAACAGAAGAGTTTTATGGGGAACATCTGGAAATTTTTGCCAGTTCCAGGTACATTGCAGGGATGGGTCTTTTCGGTCAATATGCAGATGTTTTTTGACTTTCATGCTAAAGGCTTCAGGGCATGGGCCCAATGCAGTAACACTTGTAAATTCTTTCTTTTGGCTTTGTTTGATGATTTTTTTTACAGCCCCACCACAGGGAAAGCCTCCCCTCTCTTTGCCACAGCAGTGCTCACTGGGATGGCTGCTATGAGCAAAATAATCACTGAGCTGGTGTGCAGCAGAAGGAATGTGATTCACAAGTAGGTGGTGGATACCCCCAAAAAAGGACATTTCCTGATCAGTACCATACTCTAGGTACATACAGAAGATGATCAGAGGCATCTTCCAGCCCAGAAGCATGTAACACCCAGAAGCACTGCACATGACTTTTTCCAGCTTTGATCTGGGAAGCTTGGTTTTGCAAACGCTTAGATACAAGCTGAAATACAGAAAGATGTAAAGATACAATAAGAGCTCAGGGCAAAATCAAATAGTCTTTATCAATTACATAAACTCAAAGACAATTTTAGTCATGGTAAATCTGCTGGACGCCTAGGCTTGCACATCACCTGAGTGCAGGCTTATATATACATTCTTTAACACATCATAACATTTTTGCTGGTATGTGAGGTGCTGTGATCCCTTTTGGTGTGCAGGTTTGTTCCTTAGAACTCTTAGGATTGATCTTGGCATCTCTTCTTTCTTTATCCTTAATGAAAAACATCAAGAAATTAGTTTTTTTCTTTAGTATTTCTGCATTTGGTAAATAGAAACTGCCTTTTTTTTCTACTCTAATCAAGTATAAAAATTACCTCCCAGCTAAGCATTGTACAAAATCAATTAATGAGTAATTATCTTTTAACTAATAGTACTGTCTCTTAAATGCGTAAGACTGGGACAAGAAAGGCTATGATATTTAAAGTAGTGATCAATTTCCACAGCACTACCTAGAAATTCAAAAGTATGGTTCAGCTCCTTCATAGTCTGGACAGGTCTGTAATGCTCTGAGTGCCCAGGGATTGATGTGGTTTAGCTTACTGGGTTCTCAGATTATACCTAGTCCTCAGTCACAATTCTTTTCTATTCAAACTTTGGAGATTTTTTCAATTAATCCTTTTTAACACTAAAAGCATCTATAAAACTCTCTGCGTTCTGTTAAGTCATAGAAAATATGAATGTGAAACAAGTAAGGGAATTTCTTTATTTCTCTTTGTGAAGAACACAAATCTCCCAGTCTCAGTTCAGTGTGGGTTAGTGAAACCTTCTCCCTCACATTTGAGGAAGGATGTCACCTTGAGTAAGTCACAAATGTCAGGTCTCTTGCTAAATGGAAGGCTAAGGAGCAGTGTATAAAGCTGCAGTCTCTCCATGGAAGAAGTAGGTGATTGAAGCTGGAAAAAGTCATGTGGCATAGTGTGAAATGCTTGTGGGCTGGAGGACGCCTCTGGTTAGCCTCATCCTTTGTGTGCTTCCAGAATCTGGTTTGGTTCAGAAAATGTCTTTTTTGGGGGCGACATATCCAACACGAACTGTATCTCTAGCTCTACAGAGCTCTCCCATATTGATGCCACCCTGGGATCTCATTATCCACCCATGGCTGAATGCAGTGCGGCACCAAGGCAGGTGACAAGCGAATACAATAGATTTCAGAGTCCATATTCTCAAAAAACAGGGCAGCGAGTCCACAGACAGCTCCATCAGCAGAGTCATTACAGTGAGGTACCTAACTGATTCTGGGAAACTATATTCAAATATTTAAACAAGACTCTTACATCCATAATGACTGCAAAAATCCCTACAATGAACCACTACCCATTTGTAATCACCAGCTATAAGCCAGGGTTTTCAACTCAGGCTTTTTTCTTATTTGCCTTGTTATTACAAAATTGGGCAGAGATCATTAATATAATGCACACACAAAAAAACCTGTATCTTGTAGAGAGCAATCTGTACTTTCCTTCTTCCTTTCTGGGTTTATTAGCAATAACGCTAAGCAATTTCATATTAAGGCAGAATGAGGAGTAATTGAATACATTTTCTCTCATGTTGTATTTTGTTTTATATAGCAAAAATACAAAAACAGGTCTTCATTGAATAAAAAACAAGCAGCACTTCATTAACATCTTAAAACCACTGCCAGTCATAGAGGCACATGTGCATCTGCCCAAATTCTCTGATTTATTTTCCTCCTCATAGCTCAGACACCCACATAGTTAAGAAATAGCTCGGAAAAACAGATATGCTTGCAAAACATCTCCTCTCTCAGGACGGAGAGCTGTTTACACAACAGCAATGTTTATCCAACAAAGTTCTGTGGTCGTACTTCAGTACGACCTGTGGTGCATGAGTGACTGCATCCTGCCATCTACCTGCAGGATGGGTGAAGGCAGAGCTGTGGTCCTGCTGCTGCAGGAACCTACTTGCTCTCACACCTTTGGACGCTGGGTGTCACCTCTAAAGTACCCTCAGTGCTTCCTGATGGGCTTGACAGGCAGCCTGCAGGAACAGAGTGAAAGTGGGTTTAGGTTTTTTACATTGCTCCCAGCCTTGGCCTAACCAGGCTCCATGATCTCTCAGGGAGGCCCATAGAGTGGAAGGTTATATAGGGGCACCGCAAGTTCCCTGAATGCTCTCTTCCCTGGACAAAAAAAATTCTTAATGACAACAATTGGGCTCCAAGGTTGAAACTTGCAGCCTGCAAACTCTTCATTTTGCTCAACAGTATCTGCAGGGCAGATGTGTTTGCATATAACAATACCAGAACATATTTCCAGTGAGTGTTCATGAGCTGTCTGCTGGATGGTAGCCCAGTGTGCATTCAGGTTCAGCTCAAATAAAGGAAAGAGATGGGGTGCTTCAAACACATCCACAGCAAATGCACCTATGGCCAAAGCCTCAGCACAAGAAAAGGGAACAAACACAGGAGTTTCACTCTAATCAATGTGTTTTCATTGGGAGCCATCTGCACCAGTCTTACCTGTTCCCCACCTGCTTATTTGATGGCACTCACACGGATGGAGTGCCAAACCCTTCAGTCCAATCAACATCTCTGGAACTTGGTCCAAGTCTGACAGCACAGCCAGGTCATCCTTCCTGGAGAGCATGGAAGTGTGGGTGCTGCTTCCCTCCAACCGCCAGACAAAGCAGCTCATGTGTGGGAAAGGAAAAATGGTGCTTACCAGGGCCCCAGTGACTTGTTTTTCAATCCTGATGGCTCGAGAAGTGAGGATCTGTGCCTGAAAATCTGAGAGAAGGTAGGCTGTGTTAGTGTGTGGATGAACAGCAAATAAGACACCTTCCCCCTGTACCATCCCCCTGGCTGGCACTGAGTGTCCTTAGTAAAGAACACAATGATCTGCAAGGGAGCCTCAGATAGCCAAACGAGATGTGTGATGTATGCGCATGTTTCTCAGCTATCTCTTTTGACAGCTTTTCACTTCTTGTCTGTGTACTCTTTTTGATCTCTCTCACCATTAGCTGCATAATTATGCATAATTTCACTTTACACTTTAAGGAAATATTTCTCACGTATGTCCTATTGACTCTGTGGATAACAGAAGAATTTATATTTAGTATCAGTGCACTGAGGGAGTAACTGAATTCTTACACAGATGATTTGTATAGAACAAGTATCCCGGATAAAACTCTATTCTTGAAATTATTTAAACACGAGCACATTAGCATACTAGTATGTTGCAATATAGTACATTTGGCAGTAAAACGTTCTAGTAGGCTGATAATAAAAAATAAATTAGCATGATGTAGCCATTCTAATTTAATAATTTTCAGCTTTCTATGATATACACCAGAGCAAGCGAGCTTCATTTGTTGCTTACACATACGCATTTTATACGTATAAATATATTTGACTTGAGTTTATATGCACCACTATGCTCTTGCCTAAGGATTCATATATCAAATCTATTCAAATTATATCTGGCTTAAAAAAAAAAAAAAATCCCTGCTGGAATATTCAGCAACTAAATGAGTTCATTCAGAACTATTAGTGATCATTTTCAAATGGGAGTTACAGAATGAAGGGAATATGCATATTTTGTGTGATTAATCGAATCATTTTATCTACCAGTCCTTCTTAGAATAGCTAATTGGTTTTTCAGCCTCTGTGCATGGTAGATCTTGGTTAGGGCAAAACAAAGGGCAACTCACAGACCCTGTGCAGTCAGATATCATTATATTCAATCAGACCAGTCAGTTTCCAGGGTAAATTACGAATCCATTGAATATTTCTGTTTGTTGTGACAGTCAGGGAGCTCATACGTTTGACCCAAGTGGAACCTTGCTTCCTTTCTGGCACTAAGAGATAAAAACTGAATTGAATTCCTTGATTGATGGTGTCTTTTAGAAAAACTACCATCTCCCTTTTTGTTTGGAAAAGTCATTCATTTATTTTTTCGGCTTAAAGTGAGAAAAAACACATGCTTAATAAAGCCTGTCAGAATCAACCTACATCTCAAAAAGAAAGGGCAAAAATAGCCTTGGCTATTTGAAATATTTTTAAAAAAGTGTTGCTCTCATAATCTTCTTAAAACTTGGTGTCAAGCGAGGTAGGTCAGGAATGGTTTCTGGCTTGGAGCAGGCACATCTGCCCGCCAAAGTATGTGAAGTCAGACCCTCCATTTTCAGGTACAAGTATCCAGGCACTGTGGCACAAGTCAGTAAGTGGGATTGTCTGTGTTTGATCTCTTTTCCAAGAGCAGATGAGCTGAGAAAATGAAAACTTCCTTTACAATAGTGTTGCAGGCAAATGCGAGACAGGATGTGATGCGTCAGGACCTCCCAGCTCTATGACTGATGTGTGGCACATGCTTTCGGGGTGTAGATGAGGCACATAAGATATATAAGCTAGAGTTCACGTGTAATAAACACCATTTTGCTGTTCACCATATCGGTGTATACGTGCAGTTATTTGGTCCTGACCTGGTTAGGGTTAGTAGTGTATATTGCAACACAATAGTTCAAGTCAGTTGCACACTTCTAGAGAAAAGACATGAGGAGGAGGAAGGCAATGCGAAGAAGGCAATCTCTGACCAAGAAATGACAGAAGCCTTCTGTTTGCAATGCTAACTTTTGAATAAAAGTAAGAGTAATCATGTTAAAAGTCAGTCACTTGTTCCTCAAGTATCTACTATATTTTTCAACTTCTGTTTAAAATATTTACAGCCATTTTAACACAGGTAGACACCTAAATCAACCACTCACATTCAACTCAGTGGAGTCTGCGCTCCAGGAGCTTTGTCCATACAGTGACCACAGGCTTCTTACATGCTCCATGGAAAAAGGTAGACACGTACCTGCAAGTGGTCATGGACATCTAAACTAAAGGACTGTTTCTCTCTACTGACCTTATGAAGAAAAAAACGCAGAAATTCAATACCTGCTTTCTCTTGACATCCAAACTGAGTCTTCTGTAGAAAGGCACTAGAACTTCTGCTCTTTGTGCTGAGCAGTAACGGCAGTTTCCTGGTAGAATGTCCCTCAAGAAATGGAAAATCCTCTTTGGTCATGTTTCCCACAACCTCATTGCATTACCTGGTTAGGCTACATTAGTTCATCGCTGCTTAAATCAGGAAAGAACCAGAATTGCCCATCCCAGTTTGTGCTCTACTACCTGCTAGGTCAGAGTCAGGTTCCCATGTGTATTCAGACAGAAGTCTTCACCTTCTGCCTACCTGCCCAGTGTCAATAGGAGAGAGGAACGTGGTGATACCATGAGCTTCTCACTTGGACCGAGAAATCTTCTATGGAGGTAGAGTGACAGCATCTGGGCTTACCAAAGGGTGGTCTCTCCAATCCTTGCCCAGAGAAAGTAGAAGAAGAGGTGCCCTTTTAAGGTGCAGTCACTGCCCTGAATTTCACAGAACTTTCATCTGACCAAGAGAAAATAAGTTGACTTCAGCTAAAATTAGCCTTGAGGTTGCCGTCCCTGAACTTCAGGAAAAATTTAAGAAAACTGGACCACTTGCATCACTATGCCAATAAAATGATACTTCTCTCTCTTTCACCCTTTTTGTTGAGGCATATTGAGCCACCTATGACCAGGGCAATATCTGCCAGGGATTTTTACATGTTTAAGTTTCTTCAGAGCCTATCTTCTCACTGTAGGCCAGGAAAAGCCACTGTGTTAATAACAGAAATTATTGGCTCTAATAAGAATGAATTATGGCTCAAAGCCAGATTCAACTGTTTCCCAGAGACGGGATGGCCCCGTTAAATGGGAGGTAGCCTGGGATTTACATGTCACCACAAGCCTCCTCTGTGCACATCAGCAAGATGTTTGAGCCAAATCAAAGGAGCTGAGCTCCTCTGTTCTCAGATTGCCATTGGCAGAATGACAGTCATGACTCTTCTCCACTTCAGAGAGATGTTGCAAGGACATTACATGAAAAAATGCAAACATGAGTGTTTAGAAGAACATCAGAAAGTATAAAATACCCTGCTCCCAGGCAAGCACACCTTTTTATCTTTTTGGTGCTGATGAGTTGAAGTAAAAATTTTTGCTAGCATGTATTTCCCTTAGCAAGGTGCTAAAACCATTTCTTTTTAAATGGTGATTCCTACGTACAACCTATACCCAAGCTCCAGTTCCAGCTGCAAGTTCTATTCCCATGACTTGCAAAGCAGGTGCGGACTCACAAACGGCTATGGCTTTGCAAACCCACTCTTACTGGAAAGGCTTCCTGTTCTTATCAAGGAAGGAATCCTCATTCAAATTTTGAATATTCACTTCCAATGGTACTGATTGTCAAAAGATTATTCTGCCAACACAGTATCACAAAACTAGAAAGTGACACTGTTATTTGAGTAAAAATTAAGGATGAACAATCAACGCGGATTTTAAAATTATCTCTGTTAGAATGTGTCACTGGTAATAAAAGATTAATCCATTTCCTAAATATATAATTTTTAACTTTTTCCTCCTCTATTTTCAATTTGCCTTTACTTATCAGTCCATCTTTTTCAGTACAAACATGTTTTCTCCCAGCACTCGTTGAACTTTTCTTTTGTGTAGGGTCTTAGTCATCTCCGCCAGTGCTGTGCTTCCCTCCAATGATGGAGAAAGCAGCCCGCACTGTGATACTGTTGTATATATGCATTAAGTGAAACCAGGCTGCTTTTATGACCTATTTTTAAAACACTCAGGGTAATTTACTGTTGTTTTTGTAAAATTGTGAATAACAGGGAATAACAATATTTTGAACAAATGACGAAGAATAAACAGGCTTGTTAGGGTGTAATTGTTGTGTATGAGTTTCTGGTTAGTTGTTTCTATTTCACAGGGAAATAGGACGCACTTGAAAGCATCCACATCAATCCAGCTCCAATGCTGGTACAGCAGATGAATATTTCCAAGGAGAGGTAGAAATGTCGATTCCGCTAACAAATTTACAATGCAGTATAGTGAAAGAATAAAACACGGTTTATGGGTTGCTTTCTCCAGCTTATTTTTTATCTTGCAGAATAATACTTTAAAAGCACACCAACAAAATGTTTCTCTTCCTGCTGAACTATCTTTATTTTTAGATTGGATACTTACCCTATATATCTATTTAGTCTGATCTAGCTGATGCAAAAGGTTGCTCTTTCAGTGTACAGCCTGCATTGCCCTGCATAAGCTCAAGATGTGGGTGCATACTTAATGAACCAGCCATCTGAACTTGGAAGTGTGTTCTTGGAGGAGAACATTAGAACATAAAGAAATTTAATCTTTGAAAGTCCTCATCACATTGGGTTAATTTAGCAGGCCGTGCTTCTGTTCTGTTTGAATGACCACAGAGTGCTTGATTGACTTTGACATTTGAGTAAAATAGACGGATATTAATGAAAGGATGCAGATAAGGAGCTGGAGAGACAGATACCGGGATCAGACTGTTAATGCTTTCACATTCAGACTATATACATGTGTATATATAAAAAAATGCTTTTGCAAACACTAGAATGTTCATTGCACTATTCAGAAAAGGAGGTTTACTGTGACAATCTGCTGAAAACTGCTTCTGTGATGATAACAAGAAATCAGTCACTTATTTTGCTGGATTGTTCAGGAAACTGACAGACGGGCTCTGACTGAATCTGAGAAGCCTGCACCTGGTCAGAAAACCGTGCGATGTGACAACAGTCTCTGTGTTGCTAATAATTATGCATCAATTTAATCATCAACCTCATGCTTAGCAAAATGAAAGCATAAAACTGGATAAATGATGCAGCTATAGGTATTTAAATCATGCGGCATTTTTTTGTTCAATGGGCATGGTGATGAGTTGCTCTTTTTTCTAATTCTAGATGATGCTGACAGTATTTAAAATTGAGGTTAGAAATTACAGCAAGAATCTGACTTGTGATATGTGTCATAAGATATGGCATTTTGCTCTGAATCAAATATAGACTGTTGGTCATTTTAATCAATAGCTCCAAAAACCCACAACACAAATAAGATTAAAACTACTCATTCCTTCATACGCATAATGGTCACTTCTTTGATTCCCATTTAGCATTTAAATTAGTTCAGCCACAAAGCATGGAGTACAGATGCAAGTTTGATTATATCATTAGTGAAGTTCTCCTGGATCAATTTAAAACTATTACTCTTCAGAAATAATTAAGACGGAGATCCACGGGAAGATAAAAGGTATTTACAGACACAGATCTTGTCTATTGTCATGTATGTGTGTATGAGTGCTTTGTTTCTGTTTTCTCCTACAAGGAAGATGCACTATTAATTCTTTCAAAATTTTTAGCATGCTATTCCATCACAGCAACATGTCTTTGCCACCATCATACCTCATACTTGACTTTCTTTTGGCTCTGGTCTTCACTCTGATAAGTAAAAACTTCACTTGAGTACACTGAAAAAGAAAGTGAAAGGAAAAAAAAACAAATATGAGAACATTAGATACTTTCAGAAGCAATAACATTAATCTGATTTCAATCTCAGTGTTGAACAAACAGTAGCTACCGTCCAAGAACCACTTATCTGTGACTAATGGAGATATCAGATTGCCTTGGTGTGTGGTGAAGGGTACGTTATGTACTGTGAACTGTTCGTGCAACTCCTGCTATAAAATCCAGAGAGCTGCTAAACACAGACTGGCATACAGAAGAATCGCACTTGTCCTCTGGCTACTGTATACACGGTATTTCCTGAACTCTGTGGGGTGCTCTGTATTTTCCCTCGTAAGATGTCTGAAGGACCAGCAGAACCTCAGCCCGGCAGCTCCGAGGAAGGAAGGGGTGATGAAAGGAAGGTGGTAGACCTCCTAGGGTATTCACTGTCCTGGGAGTGGTCAGGGGATCACAGAGAAGAAATAAGGAATAGCAGGCAAGATCCACTAGTGTGGCAGGCTGCCTGCAGCAGTATCCCCATCCCACCACACACACAGCTGCAAACAGCAGCACCAAGCCAGGCTCTGCCCTGCACTGTGACAGGCTGGGTGAGACATTCATCTGTCCTAGCAGCATTTTGAAATCATTTACCAAGTTGGTTACTTTCATTCCTCCTCCTCCTCCTCCTATAAGTCTGTCACATGCACAGAACTGAGGCTTTTTGACATTTGACAGCTAGATGGTTTGAAGTTTTGATCAGCTAAAATATGCACGCTAAAACAAGACTTCCTTTTTACCACGGGCCTTTGGAATACACAACATGAAAACTGACATTAGAATACACTCACGATAAATTCCTGAAGGCAGCTGACTGAACTGCCTTCCAGGTGACTACCCAGCTCAGAAAAAAGCTATTGGATACAGAAATACTACTTTTAAGAGCAGCTATTTTAAATTACTCTCATTCTTCTGGAATTTTTCCTGTGAAAAAGAGGCAGGAAGTAGCACTTTCTAGGGGAGCACATAAGAGAGTCAGAGTTGATAAATGTCTGTCTCTGCCCTGAGCTAGGAGGGCTCACTATTGCCACATGCTGGAAGGATACAGAGGTGAGACACTGCCCAGGCACTCAGAAAATGAGAGATGATACCAGAAAGATGAGTCTGCCATCTCTTGTTAGCTTCAAAGCTGTATAGCTCTCATTGCTTTAAGCATAATGCTTTTGTAGCAACGAAAATCCTTTCTGTTCTGCTATGTAGTTATCAACATAGATATTCCCCAGACTAGGCAATTCACTTTTTTGTCCTGGAAACTTGTGAAACTCAGAAACCAGCCACATCAAGAAGATGACCATCCAGAAGGTTAATGGAGTCTCATCACATCTACAGTGAAGTGAAATGTTGTGATGTCCCACTCAACTGCTGATGACTCATTTCTGAGTGGTTCTTCATCATTAACCACAATGTTAAACAAGTAAAAAAGTAAATACATGAACACAGGCAAGATCCACATAATTTTGCCGTATTCATTATATTTTACTCTGCCACGTTTTTCATTATTTTAGGGAAAATATTTTCACTTTTGGGAAAATCACCACAGTTCATAGAGGACATAGCATATTTTTAACAAACATGGCAGGTTAAGAATGACACTTTTATACATTTATAATTACTTATTAAAGAAAAAATTATTCTTCTTATTTAAGCTCCTTCACTGGAAGGGAAGCAATTTTGAACACTGGAAGTTTTGTGCAACCCAGTGAAGAGGGAGGTGTCTCTGCCCATGGTAGGGGTTGGAACTGGATGGTCTTCAAGGTCCCCTCCAACCCAAACCAATCTATGACTGCAATTACAACTATTTGGTATCTGTTTCCAAAGGCACGCTTTTGTTTTAAAATCAGGCTGCTCTCAGCAACCCACAGTTCTATTTGAAAGTTATTGTTAAATGGCCAAATGAAGTACAACAGTTAACTTTAAAGACTTGCTGTTTTATTTAATTATGCTGCAGTATACAACATTTCTGCACAGGAACCTTCTTCTAACATATCTCCTAAACCACTACCTCATGAATTTTAATCATGTGTGGCAAAGAGAAGTCTACAACATTAAGACCATAAAAGATGTATTATATTATTGCTTCATTGCAATTACAAACAGGGACCTTAGAAAAGCAACGAAAAAAAAAACAAAAAGAACTCCAACTAATTAAGCAATCATTACCTTCAGAATTATTCTGTTATCATATGGTGATGGATGATAACAAGCAAAACTAACAGAGCAGCTGGGCTTGCATGTGAGAGATGTTACAGGCAGCACTGCCCTTAATTATGTTGTTTTCAAATGGTTTATGGACACTTCCTTTGAAAACAAACCAAGAAGAGTCTTAGTGGAAACTTAAAGAATAGAAAATCTGGAATATATACTCTGAAACAAAAAGGGGATTACAATACACTGAAGTCATTCCTTCAGCTTTGTAAAACCCTCACAAAAAGGCCATACTGGTATGAGCAAAACAAAAGAAAGCATTTGCTCCTTCAGGAACTATATGGAACCTGAACTGAATTACAGGAAAAAAGAATCAAGAGTCTTTTCACTTCTTTTTCGCAACAATATTCACTTACGTAAATTATTTTATAATTTTAATTGCCCTGTTATTCATTGGTATTTATGGATGTCTATGTGATATATATGTAATAATTTCTATGAACAGGCAAACAGCCAAGGAAAGCCTCGTGGGATTCTTTTCAAACAACAATATCGCCCATGAGCTTTTTTCACATACTACCAACAAAGTGTTTCTCCTCTGATAACACCAGAGCCACATAAGCACAAAAGTGCATAACACAAAGATGACAACAGGTTAGGCGCAGCCAGGAAAACCATAAGAAACTACAAAATGATGTAGTTGGGAATGTTTGCTGGAACAGGTTGCCAGGGAGGTGGGGGAGTCACCATCCCTGGAGATGTTCAAAAAATGTGTAGATGTGACACTGAGGAACAAGGATAATAGCATGGTGGTGATGGGTTGGTGGTTGGACTCGATCATCTGAAGTGTCATTTCCAACCCCAATGATTCTGTGATTCTGTGACTGTTACCACTGACTTCTGCTGGTGTTGAGGAAGTGCATCCAGAAACATCAGGCAGCAAGAAGTTAATTCAGAGCCACCCTTTGGCCTTCATCCATCCATCATCATTTTAGCAGTGTGCTGCAATTCAGAGCCACCCTTTGGCCTTCATCCATCCATCATCATTTCAGCAGTGTGCTGCTTCCTGTGGTGCTTATAAGACCTTCACCTCTTGGCTTGAAAAAGGAAGTCGACTTTGTGAAGAGCTTTAGGAACAATGTGCTAACTCATAGGTAGATGCACTGATAGCAGACAGGTAGCACAGTAAATCACTGTTATCAGAACAGTAGGTGTGATCTCACCTTTACAAGCAAGAAATGTTTCACAGGAGGTGCTGTGTAGCAGTGACATACATCAGATATTGCTTAAAGGTTTTTAAAACCTTTAGAAGTTATTACTTTTCTTCTCATAATGGAGACGTAATAGTTCCACTTTGCACTTTGCAGAAATTAAGTATTTTCAAGCTTCAAATAATTAACTGTATGGCATACTGTAACTTCTTCAAAAGAGGTAGGGGGTAGATTCACTGTCTGGATGTTTAATGGTTACATTCTGCCACTTTACTAACCTTGGCATACTTAAAGTTCAATGACTTAATGTTTAATTAAATGAATGAGACAGGGACAGTAAGCTCAACTGGGTATGAATTGTTCAGAGAATACACAAAACTGCAAAAACTGAGAAAAACCCTATGATTCTGATAATTACTAACAAAGACAGAGAGAAAAAGTAAGATATACTTTCACTCATGCAGATACTGGAAACTGGCACTTTAAAATGTAGATATAATGAACGCTCATCGCTTGAATTGAATTTCAAAAGCTCTAAAACATTGGCTTTCTTAAAATGAAGGCACATGAAGACAATCTGAAATTTACTCTTCTTTTATTTATCTGGAAATAAAAGGCTTTGAAGAAAATATTATCTGAAGCACCAATGCTATTTGCTGTGCAATTAAACAGCACAGAGCCAGTGACAAGAAGCTCTCTGAGGGCATTCCTGCTCTGAAGCTGGATGGCAGAAATCCTCACCAATCAGCCCAGGGCTTAGATGCCTGCCCTGTGAGAGACAGAATTAATCTGTAGCACTGCATAAGATATCTTAGTGTTCTTACAAGGCTAAGAAATAAATGCCATCCCAAGAGTTTAGAATCAGAAAGACAAAATATTTATCATCTCTATCTTGTAAATTAGGACATGATTAAAGGAGGCTGTAGTAGATTAAAGTGGACTTAGCACTGCCTCAGCCCAAGCTCAGTGCCTTAACTGCACAGCCGTCCTACACGAACAAAAAAGGCACCCAGCTGGAGAGATACAGGGGTTGTGTAAAGATTTAGCTCTAATCTTGCAGCATTTTTCATAGCGTGATTAACATTAAGAGTTTTGCTTGATGTGGAATACAGTGCTCAGCACTTTGCAGGTTCCAGTCTGTAACCACTACTTTGAAGAAATAAAAAGCTCAGGAAGGAAGGAAGATTAGCAAACTGTAGGGCTTTACAACTAAGAAGCTAAGCTAATGGATGGAAGTTTCCATGAAGAAACAAATGTTTCAAGGAAAATGTTGGTCATACCTTCAGCCATCTTCTTGTCTCTGGTTGTAGCTCCATGGTGCGTTCAGCCCGACTTGCTCTGCAGCAAAGTCACTCTGAGTAAAGTGCTACAATGCTCATGCTTGAACAGTATAGTCATGCTGTTAAATCTGTGTTTTGTGACCTTGAGCATCTTTAAGTCCACCTTGAGCCTCTACAGTACTTGCAGGTTTTCTAAAGAAGTGCCAAAATGCATCTAGCAGTAAGAGACAAAGGCAAGCTTCTAGTGATCACCTTCAGGAACACAAAATAGCAAGGGGTGTGCAATAAAAAGCATTTGCCCTGGCTTGTGTGTCAGGGTGGGTTCCAGTCAA